TAAAGGACTATGGACAGACGAGCTACCTAGTGTTCTGTGGGCTTACCGAACCACCGAGAAGACCGCCACAGGAGAGACTCCCTTCAACCTCACCTACGGTATCGAGGTAGTCATCCCAGCTGAGATTGAGGTTTCCTCGCTACTACTGGAAGCATATGATGACAAGGCAAATGAAGATGAGCTACGTACCAATCTCGACCTACTCGATGAGGTAAGGGACCTTGCATATATTAGGACCGCAGCTTACCAGCAAAGAGTAGTTTGATACTATAACACCAAGGTCAAGAAGCGGAACCTCTACGTCGGTGACCTGGTCCTTTGTAAAGTTATGGTACTTGAGCCCGGCGTTGGCAAGCTCGGACCGAATTGGGAGGGACTCTACCAAGTGAAACGGGTGCTCGGGGAAGGAACACACGAGCTCGAAACCCTTTAAGGGAAACAAGTACCTCGGGCATGGAATATTGTCAACCTAAGACAGTATTACCTGTAACCATTGAGTAGACCATGCGTCACTCTCAAAGCCTAAGGGCCAAAATGCCAAGCTAACATGACCTCAGCGCAATGAGACCCAGTTGCCTCAATGGCATGGGCAAACTCCAAGGGTAGACTATTAGTTGGACTAGATGAGGTACAACCTACAAACATACAGTTCGGGCATGCATTGTAATTACTTCGCGCTATACTATAAAGATGCCTAAAACACTAAGGAATAGCTCGGGATAACGATTACCGAAAAATCCTATTTCGGGCATGTAGCTCTAATAGCTCGAGTGATGAGATCGCTTTGGCAAAAAATAAAAGAGCATACCATACTTAGAAGAAAAAAGAAAAATTCCATTACTACTTCATAAAAAGAAAAAAAACCCGAGCTAAACAGCTCGGGAAAGTTCAACAATATTTATAAAATGGCACAACTGCCCAAGAAGAAGATTTTTTGAAAACCGGGTTCTGGCACCCGGGAACCATCAGAAGTCAGTCATAGAAGCAGAAAAACAGAGCCGCCAGCCTCAAGAGTCCACCTCCTCCACCTCGTCCTCATCCTCCGGGGAGTCGGGCTCCTCCTCCTCCGCCTGGTCCGCCGTCTCGGGAGCCAGGCCCTTCATTGTGATGCCGTTGAGGTTGAACCCAAAGAACTTCTTTCGGACTAACCAGCGGCAGAGCTTGAATAGAGCGGTACAAGCTCGAGCCATATTCCACTTGGAGGTCGTGGTATTCATGGGAGTCCTTGAAGTGCTAGACTGCCTTAGCCCGCTCGGCTTCCACCATGGTGTCGAAGTTTCAAGTTCGGTCCAGAAGTGTAGACTCCAAGTCCCGGACTTGTTAGCGAAGGAGCTCCCTCTCCGCTGCCACCCTCGACAACTCCTCCCTGTAGCGCGCGCTCTCCTCAGAAAGCCTAGCGATCTGTGCCTCTTGGTCACGGGCGAGTAGCTCCTGGGCCTTGCTCCTCTTGCGAGTCTAAAGGAGCTCGCCTCGGGCCTGGTCGAGCTCGCCCTGGAGCTTCTAGACGATGGCCCTCTGATTGCGAGCGTCGCTGGAGTGGATGTTGGTTTGGAGGGCCATGGCGTGGATGGCGGTGTTCACCTGCCAACAAGAGGCTAAGGTTAGAGAACAACAAAAGAAGGGAAAGAACGAAAAGAAAAAGAAAAGATTACTTACCACCATACAGTGGGAGGCAGCAAACGCGGCGAGCGCCTTGGGCTCCATCTCCCCCCACCTAGCGACCTCCTCGTGGCAGATTGCCCTTCGGCTCTTTCGGCCAGCCACGATGTAGTTGTTGACACCCTCCCAGTTCCCTACTGGGAATTGCAGGTAGGGGAATGGGCGCGAGGGACCGGGAGGAATCACCCCTTGCCTCGAGAGCTCGCCCTCTTTGAGGCCACCTTCAGATGGGGCCAGTGGAACTTCAGGCGGTGGAGAAACAAAGTTTGGCTCAGCAGACCCGAGCTCAGTGCCCCCAGAAGTGGGAGTTCGGTCAGGACGCGACCTCTTAGCCTTACGCTTTTGGTTGCTGGAAAGAAGGCGGCGCGCGTCAACACCAGCCATGATGGCTGCCAAAAACCACAAGGTATTAGTCCAGTAAAAAAAGAAAATATATGTATACACATGATATATTTTTCACAAGGCACTACGCGAGTTTCTCCTCGGTCAAGTAATCTGAACAGAGAAGGCCTACAACTGCCTAGAACAGCAGCGTTTTCCGAGTTTCAGAGTCCAACTTAGCCTCGGGGTYCTGGATGGCGCCCCTCCAAGAAGTTGGGAAGGGCCACCCCTCGGGGTTATGGACCACAAAATAGTCACGCTTCCAAGCGAGAACCCTGTTCGGCAGGTCGTGCAGAAGTTTAAAGCAGCGACGGGGAGAAAAGTAATAAGAATGTATTTCCAGAAGTGCTCCGGGAGTGGCATTCTTAATACAGAGAATGGAAGAAAAGATATCGAGATCAAGGGGGAGGCAATACTCATAGCACAAGGAAATGGTCCTAACTACATTCCGGATGGCGTTGGGATGGAGCTGGTCAATGGTGACGCTAAAATGATTCAACACCTCCACTATTAGGGGGTGCAGGGGAAGACGCAGGACATCCTCGAGCTATTCCTGGAAAATCACTATATCATTGGGACCATGCTCCCAAGGAAAGTTACCATAGGGGAGAGATAAGGTCCCCGGGAAGGTGAAAATGGCGGACTAGAGATCTGAGTCTCCCCATCGTCATAGAGGAGGGACCGAAGGTGTCGGGCTCTCTGCCCCGAGAGGTAGAAGCCACATTGCCGGAGGCCTCCTGAGCCTGCTCCCCCCGAGCTCGAGGGTGCATCGTCATCCTGGTCACCGTCCCGGGGATAAACATGGTACAAATACTCAAACATGATTGACAAAATGAATGACTCATCGAAAAGATGAAACGGTGTGAACAGAAGAGCTTGGGCAGACTAGATGGATGCGCGACCTCAGAATCTGAAGACAACAAGTTAGCGTGAAAGAAAAATGAGGCATGGGGGCCCTCCTATTTATAGTCATTGTGCCCCTAGACCAACAGCCTAGATTGAGGTAGATCTGACGGTTCACAGTCAAGCTGACCACACATCCTTTGAAATGGAAATGTGACTGGCTGCACGTCTCCCATGATTGAGGTAATGACGGCTACACGACATCCAGAGTTAAGAGCCGCTTCGGCGTGTTTCTCAGCATTCGAAGCGTCAGAAATCTCCTGACTTTTGCGCACGCATTTAATGCGAACAGTCAATCAAGATTGAACTTCAGTCAAATCCACCTGTCCCACTTCATGAACTCCTCACGCTAAGGTAGCACTCTTAGCCCGAGGAGTGGGGGGCAATTGATGGAGGATGATTTGACCCGACCCCTTGAGACGATGACACGTGGACCTGACTCAGCACGAGCAAACAACTCAGCACCGCAGTCTAACTGCGACTAAGTAACGAGCCTGCAGGACAACTCGCTACGTCATAGCTCGCTGTAGGGGCAACTCGCTACACCATAGCTCGCTATAAGGGGAGCTCGCTACAACGCGAGCTCGAGGTCCCCCGAGCTACTGAAAGGGAATACTCCAAGACAAGTCTATCCCAGCTCGCGAGCTAGGATAACCAGCTCGTTCCAACACTTAGGCAGGAAAACTGCCCAAAGGCAACCTTGAGAAGGGTTACCTCGAAGTACTCCTAGGATATTTAAATAATATATTATATTTCGTTATTTAAATATTTAAAATTTAGTCATATTATATTTTGTTATTTAAATATTTAAATAATATATACAAAATTTAAAAGTTCTTATTATTTGAATTTTATTTATTTTAATGTTTTTACATAATATTAAATGTTTTGTTATATAATTATTTAGATATTTTTAATGTTTTGTTATTTAAGATATTTAGTTATTAAGTATTTAAATAATTTTTTATTTTTTAAATTTTATTATTTGAATAACATTTAAATTGAATAATTCATAAAATTATAATTTATATTGTTACTACATAATTTCATGATGAATTTGTAAAATATAGAATTATTAATAATATGAATATTATTACATCTATTATATTTATTTTTTATGTTTTGAATAAATATTTTAAAGTCAGTATATAATTTTATTGTAATATTTAAATAGTTCTGAATTTTTTTAATTGGAATTTTCTTTAGATGGATGTAGATAAAAAGTGGGGGAGAGGATAAATAGGAATTAGAGRTAGTTTAGGAGAGAATCTCTCTACTAAATTAGCGATAATTTAAAAGATAAATAGGAGTTAGAAATAATTTAGGAAATAAATAGGAATTAGAGACAATTGAGGAGGAAGTGGTGCCAGTTGGCTAAACATTAGAAAAGCAAATCCCTCTTTCTTTATGGTTGTTAAATGGGTAATTATGTGAAATTAAAAAAATAAAAAATTCAAAAAAATAGAAAATTAGGAAAGGGGTTTTGAAGCAAGGAGAGAGCTACTCACTTGGTGGAACCAATTTTAATATATATACAAATTATTAATAAAACTAAATTTATTAAAAATAATTATTTTTTATAAATCAACAATAAATAAAAAATAAAATTATTAAATCTTTCAAATTTTCCCGTGCATTACACGGGTAGACATAAATCAACATAAATCGGCAATATTCGAATATAAGCAAATATATTCAATTCGATCGATTTTTAATAAAAAATCAATTCGATCAGATCCATTTGTAGACCTAAATTTAGTGTGTAGCACCTTTTGTATCCGTTCGGAAGGGTTTTCATGCAACCGCTTTTGAGTTTTGAAGTTACATGAGCCGAGGAATTCCGAATTCGAAAGCTGTAAAGCTACGTTTGGTAAAAATACCGACTTACATGAACCGAAAAATCGATTTTTTGTGGTGAATCGATTGAATGTAAAGTGCGCAGCGTATCCATTCCTGGTTTGCTGCTCGCACTACTGTCTACAACAGGATACCTTACCAATCACGAGTAAACACGTCAGTTCCGCGCTCTTTGTGTCCACAATACGGGCGGGAAGAAGCGAAAGAACAAAAATTCCAATGCAAGCAAACTTTCGGAATGTCGACAATCTCAAACGATCACTACTACTAGTCTACTACTACTGCGAAAAACGAGAACGTCGCTTATTACATTTAAATCGACGAGCTCTAACTAAGTTCCATTTCTCTTCACAACACCACAATCTCCACTCTCCAGTATTCTGTTTCACTCTCACTGCTCCTTCTCTCTTCCGACTTCCGCTTCGCGGTTCGCACACAACCATGGATTCCCTCGCCGTCGAAGCTTCTTCCAGTACTTCCAAGATTCTCGAGTTCAAGTCGCGCTTCGAGGCCTACAATCGCCTGCAGTCAGTTGCCGTGGCTTTCGGCGAGAAGCTCCCGATACCGGAGATCGTTGCCCTCGGTGGTCAGTCCGATGGCAAGAGCTCCCTTCTTGAAGCTCTCCTCGGATTCAGATTCAACGTTCGCGAGGTCGAGATGGGGACTCGTAGACCTCTCATCATTCAGATGCTCCACGATCCCTCCGCCGTGGAGCCTCGTTGCCGATTACAGGTCCTCTCTTCCTTATTTTCTTTTCTTACCGGTTCTTTATCGATTATTTTCTTGTTTTCTATGTTCCGGAGCTGCGAAATGTTAGTTTTACTGTTATGTTCTGTCATGAATGTTAAAGTAATGTTTTGGTCGTGAATGCGGAGAGTTTCTCGAATAATCTTATTTCAAGGATCTCATGGTTCTTAGTTGTTTCTTTTCTCCGGATCTCGCACTTGAATGTATCTAGATCCAGACTCCATTAATTTTTTTTTTTTTTTGTTGAGTTTCATAACTATTTATTTTAGTGCTGAACTGTTCATGACGCCACGGATGTTGATCGTGATGCTAACTTCATCATGATATCATGTTACAATCTCATCTGCATCAATGGTAATTGATGATGATTATTCCTTTTTCCTGCATTTCAGAATTAATGATATAAGTTGATGCATGTTCTGTTTTTTCCCCTGAACTGTGGACTTTGAAGTTTGAGGATGGTTAACGTTCAGGTGTTAAAGATATTTTGAACTTAAATATTTGTTCTGTTTTTCTTCTTCGTTCAATTGTTAACTATACGATAATAATGTTTTAGGTGTTAATGCTTGCTTTATTCAATCTTTTGTTGAAGTGTGAACTTTGGATTTTGAGAATCCTAGTTTTCTGTTTCATTTTTTTTTTTAATTTTTTCTTATCATAAGAAGATGTTCAAGTTTTTTCCCCGGATTTTCAAACTTTATCCAGTTAATATTTGACTTTTTACAACTTTCTTTTTCGTTTATGCCATAATGGCATTAATGCTAAAACATTAATATCTTGGTCATAAAACTGACTCATTTCCATTAAACTTGTGGTTCTTAGTTGTTTTTATCCCTTCTCCGGTCCTTCTTAGAGGATATTGAAATTTGGTCACATCCAGTCAGTTCTCTTGCTGTTCAGATTTTTATTTTAGTTTGTTAGTGTGGATATTAACAGTGTTATTTTAACTCTAATGATGTCATGGATCTGTAGGTGCCAGTATGCCACTTGTTTAATTTAATTGTGTGCTTTGGTCAAAAGTGACCGTGTGATTCTTCTCTATTTACTCTTCCTTCTGTTTTCTTTCTTTGGAATTTCTTTCCCTGGATCAGTAGTTCAATGTTTTCCCTCATCATTTACCTCATATGTATCTGTTAAACCTTGACCAAATGAATGCAGGAGGAGGACTCGGAAGAATATGGAAGTTTACTTGTTTTGGGATCTACAGTTGCAGATCTTATCAAGTCCAGAACAGAGGCACATCTGAGGAAGACCAAAACTGTGGTTTCTTCTAAGCCAATTGTCATGCGAGCAGAATATGCTCATTGTCCTGATCTCGCCATTATAGATACTCCTGGCTTTGTCCTTAAGGAGGGTGCTCTCTCTCTTTCTCTCTCTCTCTCTCTCTCTCTCTCTGAACATTTTTGACCCTTAATAACTTGGCATCTGTGATTTCCACTCTGATTAACAAGCTGAAATCTATTTGCAGGCAAAGAAGGGGGAACCAGAGAATACACCCGATGAGATCCTGTCAATGGTGAAGTCGTTGGCAAGTCCTCCTCATCGTCTTCTCCTGTTCCTTCAGCAAAGTAGTGTGGAATGGTGCTCATCACTCTGGTTAGATGCCATTCGTGAAATTGATCCAACCTTTAGGCGGACAATCATTGTTGTCTCCAAGTTTGATAATAGACTCAAGGTAAACTAAGTGATTTATTTTATGAGGAATAGATAAACAAATTTTGAGTTTGATATGAAGTGGAGAATATATAGTCATAGTTGATGGTAAGATAAAAGAAAGCTTAACACATGCAGGAGTTTACTGATCGGAGGGAATTAGATCAGTATTTAAGTGCTAGCGGTTACCTTGGGGAGAACACTCATCCTTTCTTTGTGGCCCTGCCAAAGGACAGGGGCATGGTAACAAATGAGGAATTCCGCAGGCAAATATCTCAGGTCGACAATGAAGTCCTCCAGCATATGCGTGAGAACATCAATGGAGGATTTGATGAAGAAAAGTTCAGGCCCTTCATTGGTTTTGGCTGTCTGAAGGAGTACCTGGAGTCTGAGCTTCAGAAGAGGTATAAAGAAGCTGCACCAGCTACTCTTGCACTACTTCAACGACGCTGCAGTGAAGTCACTGTTGAGTTGGAGAGAATAAACTCTGATATACAGGCTACTTCTGATGTTGCCTCTCTCCGGAGGTCTGCAATGTTGCATGCAGCTTCAATCAGCAGTCATGTGGTCTGTAATATGATGCACACTATTTTTCATCATTTGTTTTATCCTTGATTGAGCATTTCAGTAGAATATTCACAGTAATATAGAACAATGTCTCCCTTTGTTGGTGAAGGGAGCATTGATTGATGGAGCAACAGATCCTGCCCCAGAGCAATGGGGGAAAACTACAGAAGAAGAAAGGTTGGAGAGTGGTCTTGTGAGCTGGCCGGGTGTCATTGCAGATATAAAACCTCCCAATTCTTCCCTAAGGCTCCATGGAGGAGCTGCATTTGAGAGGGTCATGCATGAATTCCGTTGTGCTTCGTATTCCATAATGTGCCCAACAGTGTCAAAGGAAAAGGTAAGCTATCCAAAATGTAGCTTTCCTCTAACTGGAAATTAGATGATATAATTTAGCATCTGATGGGTAGAAAACTTATTTGTTTTCCAATTGCAGGTTGGGAACATACTACTTGCCCATGCTGTAAAGGGTGGTGGTGGAGGAGTAATGGAGGCAGCTGCAGATATAGCACGCGCAACTGCTCGATCATGGCTTGCCTCTCTTCTGGAAACTGCCTGTGATCGACTTGCATTTGTTTTGAGGAACCTTTTTGAACTTGCTGTTGAACGCCATCGCAACCGTGAATCCTCAGAGAGTATGGAGATATTTAACACAATATAATATATGTTCTACATGACTTTTATATCTATTGGTTCTCAGCAAAGTTGTGGTCCCAACTATTTGGGTCAGCTATACAAGTCAGCAAGGATTCAATTTTCAATCACATCATGAATTCCTCTTTGGCTCCCAAAACCTCAAGCAATTTTATTTCTATCCCTAGATCAAGGGAGGCTAAAAATTGATCATAACTGAAAAAACCCACGCACGCACACACACACACACCCCACATGCAATTTTGCATCATTTAAATCTTTTAAAATCCATGTTTACACATAGCTCCATTTGTCCCTGTCAAAAACCAACTGCGTTACATTTCTCTTGGTGTGAAAATTTCATGTATCAGAGAAAAGGCAGAATTTCCCCAAAACATACCAAATTCCATACACCACTTTTTTCTACAACAGAATCTTGCTATTTTTTAAAATAGGACTATCTGTTGTGCAATGCTCACCAATAGATGTTGGAATTTGATAGATTTGTTTTTGCAAGAGTTTTATTTAGCAAAACAATTGGATTTCCATCTATCTCTCTCATTTATGCATGTAAAATGCTTTGTATTGGGTTAGTAAATTCAGAAAAATAAAATTCATGAAATTATAGAAGCTGCTTCCCCTTCATAGTGGTGATTTCCACTATTTACTAGGCTTGGTTGGTGTGATATTTAAATATTGTTTGCTTGTTTGAGTTTTTTTTTTTTTGTTTTTTTGAGGAGTGCTTTGTATGATAACTAACTTGCCACCATGATCATATTCTAATGAGCACCCAGCTGCTTAGAATTCTGAATCAATCACTCAGCCTAATGTTTCAAACTTGGTTTTTATTGCATAGTGCAGTATCTATTCACTTCTTTATCTCTGATCTTAGTCTATATTAGAACTAATTTCAGCATCACATTAGATTAGCTTTTAGATTTACTTTTGAATGTGATCCAATGTTTTATTCCAAACCCTAATTACTCTAAACCCCAGTTTTTCCTACCTATGGCTGTTTTTATGATTCATTATGAACCTGATCCCACGCTTTTCTAAATCATGGTTTAGACTTTAATCTCTTAATCCCTGGATTTTCTTATGTTGTTTAAACATACTTTTTTTTTGATAAATAAACTGGTTACTTTATTAAATTAATATAAAAACAGTACAATCGCAAAGTTCAAGATTGCATAAAACACTATAATCATTATAAAGGAGCCCAGAACAATTCTGCCCAGTCACCCCCTGTTTTGCAAGTGTACCCGCCATGCCATTTTCTGATCTTCTGATCCACCTACCGATTCAATTTCTAGGTGTCTCACCTCCCTCATAGCATATCTGCACCCAAGTTCTCTACTATCATCCAATTAATAACTAACGAAGAATCACCTTCCACTTAAGTCTTTGTAGCCTAGCTGTTTTGCAATCCTTAACCCTTGCCCAAAGCAAAAATCTCTGCCCTCAAAGAACCACCCTGGCCAATTGGTCCCAAAAACAGTGCTATACATCTGCCTTCATGATTCCGAAAAATGCCACTTATGCCTGATGGACCCGGGTTTCCATTGGAACTGCTATCAAAATTTAGTTTAAGTCTATTATATGCTGGAGGAGTCCATTCCTCATAGAGAGGTCTCTGTGTGGATGAAGCTACCACCACTGACCAACCCCTAAAAATATCGTCCATGGTATACTCCTTGAAAAACTTCATTGTTTTCACCCAATGCATAATTTTCACCATATTGTTTTTAATGATGCCCTTGTCAGTTTTTGCCTTGTCTTGGGAACTTCTACTATTCCTTTCCTCTCAAACATCCAAAGAACAACATCTCTAGTAGCTCTCCACGAAATTCTTCCTCTTGTAGGCTGTCTTAGGAAGCTAGGATAAAAAAGTTCCACAAAGTTTTGTGGAGGTGTCATGCAACCAAAGAAAGAAGAAAAAATGTTTAGATATACAGGCTGGCAAGCGTGTTTCCAAATACCAGATATACAGGCTGGCAAGCGTGAGAAAGCGGGTTTGAGTATGAGAGCAGCCACTTGTGTAAAAAATGCCAAAGGTTAGGATCATATCCAATCTATCCCTCCCACGACCCCAGATAACTGGGGCCACCATTGGGTAAAAAAATACTAGATAAATAAGCACAAACAATTAGTAAATGGAATGCAGACTCACCACTAGAAATTCAAAGGTTACAAATATAAGAGAAGTGTCGGTAAAGTAAGAAAGATAGGATTTGAATAAATTTAGGAAGGATTAGATTTGAATAATTTTAGGAAAGTCATATCCTAGGATTAAGGGAAAGATTTAGTCAATCCCTGATTGCGAGAGATTCTAGGGGTCTRCCTTTCCTATCTTTTCTTATTTAAGTTGTATGCTCAACATGTTTTTATAATCAATAAAGAAAATTCTCTTTTCTCTCCCTCTATATTTCGCCACAAGAAGAGATACCGAGATGGCCTTCTCTTCTACAGCATGTCACAAGTATTGATCTTATTAAGGACTACTTCCCAGCAAAATACCCCTTATTTTAGGAGGAACAGGCTTGCTTCACACCTCCTTTGCAGGAAAGGACAGGCCAGGGCTAGAATGCTGCACAAGAGTATGGGAAAAAGATGCACAGGAAAACACCCGGTGGGAGAGAGAGAGACCAAATTCTACTTTCTAAGCAGGAGTGATCATGAAAAATATTATTGAGCAAGGACAAAAGGTCAGAGACAGTGAATAATTCCCCTTCCCTAAGACCTCTCATGATGCCCAAATCCCAATTCTATATATATAAAAGGTGAAAGACTATAGTCACTATATATACTATTTCTTTCAATCCAATTTCATATTCTTATTAGATTTAATTTGGTCTTCAATTTCTGCTTACTAAAACCCTAGTATTCGAGATTTAAAACCCTGTACATTCAATTTTGGACCAACCACTGCACAACGCTAAATGTCAGATTGCTAGAGCTAAAATCCCAATTCTCCTTCATTGCAAATTTTCAAATAGCTATACTCTTCCAGGTTTACATTCAATTTTGTAAGGCAAATTTACCACCTTTGGTCCATCTATTTTTTTTGGTAGAACCTTAGGTCCATCTATTAAGAACTAACAATCTTCAGCAAAATTTCAACAATCTTGTTCAGCCTTTTGATGGTGGCTATGGGAAATGGGAAATGACTTCAGTCCTTCATTCAACAATTTGTCCCTGTTTTACATTTCTTTTCTTGGAACTACTGGCTCATGTAATGGGTGTGTCTTCCTGAGAGCAGGTGGTAGGAAGCGTAGAGATATGGATGGGTATGTTGGTTTTCATGCTGCCTTGAGGCACTCCTACAATAACTTCATAGTGGAGGTTGCCAAGCAATGCAAGCAACTTGTCCGCCACCACCTTGATTCAGTTACTAGCCCATATTCTCAGGCCTGCTATGAAAATGACTTCTCAGGTGGTTATGGATCAGGTCCATATTCTATCTACAGATTCAATCCTACTCCTGCTGTTTCTTTTAATCTTGAACCATCTGATGGCATGCCAATATTCCAAGATGAAACAACAGGCAGGGATCAGGAAAATATACCTCCAGAAAGGGGCTCTCAGCAAACAACTCCAGGGAAAAGAACCTTATCCAGAGAAGCTCTCCAGGAAACTGAAATGACTATTCCTGATACACCTCCTGATCAGCCATGTGATGTAGTTCATGCAGGAGTTAAAAAGAAAGACAAGAAGAAAGGACATGGAAACCACATAGAGGTTGGAGGGAGAAAACGACTTGTACCCAACAGAAGCAAGGAGGATAATCATCTGGCACAAAATGGTGGTGGTGTAGGCCTCCTTGTTGTCAATGGTGATATTGGTTCTGGAGCAGGCTCAGCTTATTCAGATATTTGTTCTGCAGCTGCACAATATTTTGCCAAAATACGAGAAATTCTTGTTGAGCGAAGTGTGACATCTACTATGAATTCTGGATTTTTAACTCCTTGGTAAGATTTTTGGAAAACTTTAGGACTTGCATATGCACACTTGTACCCCAGAATTTATATAAAGTTCCTGGTTTAGCTTAAGCACCAGGTTGAAACTGATGGATAGCAATGTTCTGCACTTCACAATACAAATTTTCTACACCATGTTTTTGTCATTTTCATGCTGTATTCATCACAAATAAGTTTATAACTAATACTTCAGTCTGATACTTCTCTTTTATGTTTCATGTGGGGGCATAGTCGAGATAGGCTCGTGGTGGCACTCAGCTTAGACTTATTTGCTGTGAATGATGAGAAGTTCATGGATATGTTCGTAGCACCTGGTGCAATTGACACCCTTCAGAACGAACAAACATCCCTTCACAAGCGCCAGAGGATACTTCAGTCTTGTTTGCATGAGTTCAAAAGTATAGCTCGTGTCCTTTGATGGTTATATAATCCCAGAGTTCAAAAGCATAGGTTGTTGATAAATGTAACTCACTGTTGATTCCACAGTACACGCCTAGAGAAAATTTGATTTGCAGCGAGCTTCAGTGTCATGGAAATCTGAATGAATCTATATTCAATTTAGTTGCCATGATGACTCCAAATTAGTGGCGTTTTGAATTTTTGATTCGTGAAATTCTTACTCTCCTGGTCTTGTTAGCCAATCACTTCAATGCGAAGCCCTACTCATTCCGAATCTCAAACCGTTCGCTTGCACTAGTGATAATGATAAACGATGATTTGCATTTGCAAGGTTTTCAAAACAGCAACTACATGATATACACTTTCAGTTTCACGGGGCCGTAATAGTATGTACGAAGTCATAGTTGATAGCTTGCTGGTGAGGCATCTACCTGACTGGTTGCAAGGCCTCCATCTAGTTGTCGTATATTGATTAAAACATTGCTGGGGAGGAGGGGGGGTTGGTTAATGGGATTGTGGTTCCCGTTGACCAATAATCTCATGTTCCTTTTCCAATTTCCTGCGGATCTCACAGTAAGTTGGTAAGTGATAGTCATCTCCTAAAAAAGGTCCTTGTCTAACATACCTTGAAAACGCTTCGATCAAAATAACACTGGTAAGACTTACGTAGCTAAGTGTTTCCTGAGAAATACAAATAAATTCACTTACCCAGTAAATGGCTTCATGATAAAAGAACCGTGCCATACATTATTTATAAACTAAACCAAAAATGACCTCATAACATGAAACAGGACCGGAAAATAACTTATATGAAACTTCCACCTATGAGTCACAAAAATAACCTTCGACCTCTAGCAAACAACTAAACATTCAACACCAAAACCATATTAATTTTTGTATAGATATGAGCATTGATGTGGGCTAGCCAGGCCCAGCCCATTACGAACTGGGAGGCCCAGCCCATTAACACCTGACAGCGCCAGCCACAGCAGGGGGGAAGCCCTACTGCCTTCGTACGGAGCCAACCGTGGAGCAGTTAGGTGTACTTGTAAGGACCTGTCGCCTGACTCTGTACGACCCTCATTTGGTGCGTTCATTTTCACCTGCCTCCAGCTTGTTCAAGTATAAATATGAGGTAACTCTTCATTGACAAGGGATTAAGATTCCAAAATTCTGATACAACTCTCTCATTTACTCCCAGCACCTACCTTGCTTCCCTAGCATTTACTCCTAGGGACCCAGTGCATCCGAGGACTACCGTCGAGGCCTCGTCTGCACCTACTCATACCTCACACCTCGTACTAACTTGAGCATTGGAGTTGTCGCCTCGAGTCTCCACCTGAGGCCTCTGACACCTCTTGTTTTGCAGAACCTTGGATCTTCAGGAACCTTGTTACCGAGACAATGACCTATAGTCTTCGGCTCCTACCGTACTCAGAAGGGAGCACCTCACCTCGGCCTATAGTCCTTGACCTCAGCTTACTTCCCTTCGGAGTCCTCAAAGCCTTCGGCCAACCTTCAGAACTTGGGAGTGAATTTACCTCGTTGCCCTTGGCCAATCCGAGCCACAACATTTGGCGCCGTCTATGGAAACGTCGCTAAGATGATTCCTTAAAAAACAAAAAATATATATAATTTCTAAGCCCTCCTAAGTTCAAAAGCCATGGTGCGAAGAACCAAGAATAACCAGAACTTGGTCACCTACGAGCAATTTCAGGTTGTCCTTGATTGTTTGGACCGCCTCACTCAATGCGTGGAAGAAGTCTGCCCCCGAGCAGGAGGTCCCTCTCAAGGCGACCGCCCCGCTGGGGTGTCAAAGGATCAAGGCCGACGCAAGCACGTCGAGCCCCTAGCCCTCGGCTAGGGCAACAACTTGCTGGTCGAGCAATCTGAGTCGGGCAATAACCGACCCCCCAATTCACCTCGGAGGAATGTTCGACCTCCTAGCTGAAGGGAAGAAGTGCCTGCTCGATTCGAAGACAGTCACCAGCCTTCGAAGCAACACCACCTCCGCCAAAGGGAGGTTCCCAAGGACGATGGTGTACACCTTGGTCGCCCCAGAGTTCGCTCCTGGGACGAGAGCCGACGTCGCGCCACTCCACCTCCTATCTCGGATCTCCGAGACGTTCTGAACGATTGTTGCGCCCGCATAGGAGCACACGACCTGGTCTTAGAGTACTCGGGAATCCGAGCTAATATCCACCGAGTCCATGAAGATAGAAGCGGGGCCCACACCCCCACTGATCCGGGGCTTGCCGAGTTGCGAGCCAAGATTTGACGGCTCCGCCAAGTCAAGGAGAGCCGAGCCAATGCTTCAACTAGTCACGACAACTCCGCCGGCCGCATGGACGCATTCACCCCGGAAATCATTTCGGAGCCTCTCCCTCCACACTTCAAGGCTCCTACTTTGGAGATGTACGACAGTTCCTCGGACCCTGACGACCACTTGGAAAGTTTCTAAGCACTCATGATACTCTACAGGTATTCCGACGCCTTGATGTGCCGAACTTTCTAGGCCACCTTCATGGGGGCAGCGCACCGCTAGTTCTCTAGTCTTCCCCCGAGGTCAATCAGTTTGTGGGAGCAGTTCACCAATATGTTCCTCACTTGCTTCATCAGCAACAGACGATACTAGAAGAGTGTCRTCTCGCTTATGTCCATTAAACAAAAGCCAGGTGAGAGCTTGTGGTCTTACATTGTCCACTTTAAAAAAGAAGAAATCGAGGTCAGGAACCTCGACCCCATGGTCTCAATGCATGCTGTTATCAACAGACTCTGGAGCTGGCTCCACCCTCAAGTGCTCTGTCGCCAAGACCCCGCCAAAGACGAAGCTAAAATTCCTCAAAAAGGCCCAGAAGTACATTGCGGCCGAAAGACTTTGGCCGGGGACCACTAGGAGAAGGAGACCGAACGCAACGATGGGCCCTCAGGAAAGAAAAGAAAGAATGAAGATCGTCGCGACGATGGCGACAAAGATAACAGGAAGCCATCGGCCCCTGACCACGGCTTACAAACAGTATATGCCACTCAACTCCTCCCGGACCTAGATCCTGATGCAAATAGGCGAGGAGAAGTTCATGAAGTGGCCAAAAAAGATGAAGAGGAACCCCAAGAGGGAGAACCCCAAAAAGTACTGCAAGTTTCACCGCAGCGTCGACCACGACACTGAGGACTGCTATGAGTTGAAGAACGAAATAGAGTCCCTCATCCGCTGCGGACACTTGAAAYAGTTCGTCGGAGGTGAAGCTGACACTTTGTCCTCCTAGCAGCAACAACAATAGCAGCACCAACACCAACAGGTCGTCGGAGTCATCGACGGGGACTCAGCCTCGGGTGGAGCCTCGGCTTCGGCCCGCAAGGCCTACACCAGGCGGTTGAACATCTGAGGGCCAGCCCCCAAGAGGCCAAAAAAGCATGAGGACCTCTCCTTTACGGACGCAGACCTTAATGGGATTACAGTCCCCCATGATGACGCACTGGTGATTTTGGTTGTAGTAGCTAACTTTCTGGTTAAGAGGATTCTTGTCGACAGTGGCTCCTTGGTAGACATCCTCTTCTTCGAAGCCTTTGAAAAGATGAAGATAGCACCAGAGCATCTTCAGCCTGCCGACGTCCCACTTGTCGGCTTCTCCGATAATGTTGTTAGGCCGGAAGGAAAGATCACCCTACCAATCACGATAGGAACCGAGCCTCGGCAGGTGACGAGGATGATGGAATTCATTTTCGTGTTGATCGGCTCCCCCTACAATGCAATCATGGGGAGATCAACCCTTCACGCACTGTGAGCCACCATGTCCTCCTACCACCTCGCCCTCAAATTCCCAACCGAGCATGGCATCGGAGTCGTTCGGGGGGGATCAACATATCACCCGTTTGTGCTATGTGGTGGCACTAAAGGGCAAGAACAAAGAAGCATTGCCGCTTGAGGGCCTCGACCTCAGGGAGGAGCTGGCGAACTAAGGCCAACCAGCCGAAGACCTCATCTCGGTTCTGCTAGACGAGGACGAGCCTGAGAAGACAATTTGTGTTGGGTCCAACCTTCCCCTAGAAAGCCTATTTGAATTGGTAAGTTTCCTCAAAACTGACGCCAACGTCTTTGCTTGGTCCGCCGCTGACATCCCGGAATTGACCATTCGGTAATTACTCACAAGCTGAGCGTGGATCTGAGCTCTAGGCTGGTTCGGCAGAAGAAGAGGAACTTTGCATCGGAGCGATGAAAGGCCATAGGAGAGGAAGTTGACAAGCTACTCGACGCCGGATTCATCCAAGAGGTATACTATCCTAATTGGCTGTTGAATGTGGTTTTGGTTAAGAAAGCTAATGGGAAATAGCGAATCTGCATTGACTTTACAGACCTTAACCAAACCTGCCCTAAGGACAGTTTTCCTTTGCCAAGAATAGACCATCTTGTTGATGCCACTGTAGGATATGAATTGCTTAGCTTTATGAATGCCTTCTCCGGATACAATTAGATAAAGATGCACCCCGAAGATGAAGAGAAGACCTCGTTCATCACCGGACATGGTACATATTGCTACAAGGTGATGCCCTTCGGGCTTAAAAACGCAAGAGCTACCTACTAGCATCTTGTTAATAAAGTATTCAAGGATAAGATGGGGAGGAACGCTGAAGTCTATGTAGATGATATGGTGGTGAAGAGCTTGAAAGCCGAGGCCCACACCTCGGAACTGRCTGAGACTTTCGACACTTTGTGGAAGTTTAATATGAAGTTAAACTCCAACAAGTGTGCCTTCGGCATCACTTCGGGCAAGTTTGGCTTCATCGTCACTCAACAAGGCATTGAGGCCAACCCTGAGAAGATACACGCCGTATTGGACATGGCACCTCCTTGGTCGGTGAAGGAAACCTTGAAGCTTACTGGCCGAGTGGCGGCGCTCAACCGCTTTATGTCGAAGTCAGTTCACCAATGTCTTCCCTTCTTTCGAGCCATCAAGAAATTGAAAGACTTCCAGTGGACGGAGGAATGTCAACGAGCTTTTGACGAACTCAAGGAATACCTCGCCTCACCTTCCCTCCTGGCCTGCCCGGTCCTAGGATAGACCTTATACCTGTACCTGCAGTCAGCTCAGTCCTAATCAAAGAAGACGGAGCACAGAAACCAATATATTACGTTAGCAAGGTACTGTGTGACGCTGAAACCATATACCCCGAAGTAGAGAAACTGGTCTTCACTCTCATAGTT